CGCCGCTGTCTCTGCAGTGCGGACGCGGGGCGGGGGCGCGGCGGGGACGGCGGTGCAGGAGCGCGGACCCCCTGCGTCGCGCGGGAGACTGCTGGGCCATTGGCGCGCTCAGATCACGCGGCGGGGCTGTAGCTGCTGCTGTGGCTGCAGCTGCAGGCGCCTGGGACCGCGGGTGACGTCACCGGCCCCCTCCCCCAGGGGGCGCTGGCCCAGGCGGGGTCCTCCCCGGGCCCGGCCTGGCTTAGGACCCCTGCCGCCCGGGACGTCCCCTGGGGCGCAGCCGTGGTCCCGGGTTGGGAGGGGGGGTCGCAGCCCACGGTGCCCTGCGAGAGGCACCCACCAGCGCCGCGCTCTGGGTGGCAGCGTTGCTGGGGGGCTCTGGGGCTCCTTCCCCTGCCTTCCCTGTCTCTCGCCGTCATCCCCATCCAGGTGTGCTCCTGTCGCTGTCCCACGGAAGGGGCACCTGGTCCAGATGAGATTCAGTAGAGCTGACTGACGTGTGCATGCGCGCACGCACATACACACACACACACCCCCACACACACACAACACACCCACAGAGGTGCAGAGTGATTAAAGGGCCCGCCCTCTCTGACCAGGTTCAAAGGTGTCCTGCCCTTCATAGCAACTCCAAGCTTTGCTGGCTCCTAGCGGGCTTGGTCCAGCTCACTGCAGTGGCAGCTTTTCTCCTACTGGCTGCCTTCCAGCGGAGGTCTGGAAATCCTGCGAGCCTTGTGCACACCCGCAGAGAGCGTTCTAACCTGGGGTGACCGCCGGTCTGTGTGTGCAGCAGGCCTAGGTTGCCATGTGCTCTGTGCTTTCTCTAGCGAAAGAGCTAGACATCCTGTCTTGGCTGCTTGGGGTAGTGTGGGTGTGACACCTCCCCAGAGACCACCGTTTGCGTATTCCGCAGGTCAGCCTTTGTTAGAGGTGGCAAGGAAGGAGCTGAGTGGGCCCTAACTGGCTTGCTTTCTCTGTGTGTGGAGGGAGAAGTTTTCACAGAATGTTCCAGAGCAACGTGGTGTGAGTGTGACAGCAATGCAAAACCAAACCTGTTGCCGTGGAGTCAATTCCGACTCGTAGTGACCCTATAGCAGTAGGTTGGTGCTTAAGGAGAACTTGTAGCATCAAGGTCAGGGAGAGTTTCTTGTTGACCCTGACTGCTGAACAGCCCAGTTCTCCACTGCCCCCCTTAGATCCTGCTGTTAGACTCCTGGGTCTCTTTGCCTGGCCCTAAGCCTCCATAGGCTCCTGGGTAACCAGGTCGGCTCCCTCCTTCAGACATGACATCCCCCAGGTGGCCGCTCTCACCTGCTGGACAAGACTTCCTCAGTTTCTCCTGGCAGGCTGACCCACTGGGCCCAGGTGTTCCATCCATCCCCTCACAGGTGCAGGTGGCCCCTTGTGGGCTAAAACAGCCCTTCTGAGTGACACCCCTAGACACCCTCAGGCTCCGCTGACTGGGGCTGTTCCTAGGCTGGGTAAATATGAACAGATCAAAACAGCAACAACAACAAAAAAACCCAACAGAAGCCAAAACCTGTTGCTGTCCAGGTGGTTCTGACTCATGTGTTAGAGTAGAACTGCTCCATAGGGTTTTCTTGGCTGTAATCTTTAAAGGAGCAAATTGCCAGGCCTTTCTTCCATGGCACTGTGGGTGCATTTGAACTGCCAACATTTAGGTTCGTCGCCAAGAGGAGATATGAGTAGTGCCTAGTAATTTCATTAACTTTTGAAGGAGGCTCTGCCAAAGGACATAATTCTAATTGTCACTCTCCTTTTCTTTCTGCCAGCCCTGCGGGCTTTTACATTCTGGGCTCATGTACCGCAGTACAATTTTAGGATGAGTAAGGGGTATGCCTTTCTTCTGTGAGGGGGGAGAAGGGCAACTGGGACCAGGGCTGGGGGCATGGTGGGCGTGCTTGACCACGTGGCCAGGTCTAGGCAGGCGTGCACCCAAATGGGAAGCCCCAGACAGGAAAAGAAGCCTCGCTCACCTAACCCTTTGAGTGCCCTTGCCCACCCTCAGAGGCGCATGAACCTCATTTTTTTACGACCTTTGGCTTGGTCTGTGGTGGTAGAGAGGGCAACGGAGAGAAATAAATGAATTTGAAAGACATTTAGGAAGTAGAATCAATAAAACTTTGAGCTGGATTGGATGGAGGTTGCAGGAGAGCTGATTGGTGTCATCCAGAATGGCCCTCACCTTCGCCTTGCCAAATCGTCTTGGTCCTTAAACCAAGTCGTTACAGCAGTGCTTTGGTCCATGCACGTGGCTAATGGACCAAAAACTGAGTCAGGCTCTGTTCCCAAGCATTGCCCCCTCTAGAAGCTTCCTTGCCCAGTCCCATCTCTCCTGTCGCCATGGGTTAAGGGATTGGGTGCCCTTTTCCTTGCAACTCCCTGATCCTTGCAGCTCCCCAATGGCAGGCTCTGTGTCAGTCCTGGCTCCCTGTTCTCCCGTGCCCGGCCCAGTGCCTGCCTCATGGAGTATATTCAGCCCTGAGCGGTGTCCGCAGGAACACCACGCGCCAGCCCAGGTCTTCCCCACGGAGGAGACGCTGGAGCCTCTGACCCCCTCCCCTCTCCACATTCATGTGGCAGGGGACTTGGCCCCCTGAGTGCCGTCTGTCCAGCTCCTGCTAATCGCGGACTCCTCATCCTCAAGGTCCCCTCGTAGATCCGCCTTCGCCAGCCGCGGACTACAACTACCAGGAACCTTGGGAGGGGCTCGGGCGCCCCCTGAGCACTCGGGGGAATGCGGTGGCCAATAGCCCCTTCTGAGGGGCACGCAAGGGGGGGGGGCCTGTGCCCCTGGGGCGCGGGCGAGGAGGCGGCAGCCCCGGAAACGGGTATGCCGCCTAGGAGGAGCCTGGGAGGTGGTGGCTGTTGTCGTGGCAGCTCGGTGGCCTCCCTAGTCCGCCGTCGGACAGGTGAAGGCCAGGAGATTGGCCCGCGGGCTGGCCGTTGCGTGACTTGGGTGGCCTGGGAGGCTGGGCTGCCAAGGTAACAGCTGTGCCCTGGCTCGGGTGACAGCTGGAAGGAGGGATGGCTTGTTGGAGGAACTGCAGGGACGCGGGCGCGCCGGCTGACTGCACCCCTTGCAGGAGTGGTCCGCTCCCCGCTGTCCCGGCCGGGACCCTCGCCTGGCACGGTCGGGCTGTGCGAGCCACGTACCCGCACACTGTCGCTGCCGCCATAATGCTCGGGTCCTAAAGGATTGGGCGCGGGAGCCCCCTCCTCAGATGGAAAGACAGGGAGCCCATGGAGGAACCACCCCGGAAGGTGAAGCGGAGAGATGAGAGCCCAGGGCTACAGCGGAGGGAAGCGGGAGCAGCAAACCGCTGCTGGGGGTGGAGGGCCCCCAGGCTGTTGGGTGGGAGTGAAGAAGGCATCCGTTACCTTGGGGATGTCAGGCCTACTGGTGGTGGTGTGCCAGGCAGGGTTCCCTAGGGGGCTGCGCGGTCCAATAGAGCCACATGTATACTTTTACCATCAGTGGCTCTGAGGGAGAAAAGACCTGGCGATCTGCTCCCATATGGATTACAGCCTAGGAAACCCTATGAAGCAGTTCTACAATGTCGTATGAGGTCCCTATAAGTTGAAATCAACTCCACGGCACCCAACAACGACAACCACAACAGTGACCACATTGAACTTTGAAAGAAACAGGTGGAATTAATTTTAATAATATGTTTTATTTAACCCAATGAATCCAAAAGTATTATCATTTCAACACAGAACCAATATAAAAAATGATTAATGAGATATTGTACATTCTTTTTCCTCTGAGTCTTCAAAATCCAGTGTGAACTTGACCCTTACATCTTAATTTGAACTTGCCATATTTCAAGTGCCCCATAGCCACTATGTGGCTCTGTGGCCGCCCTATTGGACAGTGCATCCCCAGAGAGTTCTCTCCTCCTTGGTGTCAGCTCTGCCTTGTGGGGGTTTCTGCCACCCTGGCTTTTGATCACTCTGCCTGATTCTGGCTTTCACTTATCAAAGCACCGCCAGGCCCCTTATTTTGAACTCCATTGCCTGAGATGCACTTCCAGCTGAAAAGTGTTGAGTGTTGCAGGGCAGGGCCAGAGGCTCTCGTGCTCTCTTTCTCTCTCCCAGTGCCACCTTCTCAGGACTCTGCTCTTCCCCCAAAGGATGACCTGGAAGAAGAGGGTAAGGCTGAGGGGCTCCTGACAGTCTGCTCAGAGGTGAGCTGGGGTTCCTCTTTCCCTCCTGAAAGGCTCTGTCAGCTCTTCAAGGGGAAGGCATTGTCCGCACTGACCCTGGAGTGTCTCTGCCCAGCTAGTTTCTCTTGAGGGACTTGAGCTGCAAATCCCTCACTCCACAGATTGCCCGTCTCCGTGGAAGATGAAACTCCTAGGTCAGCAGTCATGGATTGAATTGTGTCCCCCCAAAATATCTGTCATCCTGGCTGGGTCATGATTCCCAGTATTGTATGATTGTGTAATCTGATGTGATTTCCTTATGTGTTGTAAACTCTTTATCACTATGATGAGGTTATACTGATGAGGTTTACAAGATTAGATAGTGTCTTAATCCAAT